TTAGGTTATTCACTATTTAGTGGTGTTACTAAGCCAGCAGAAAACCACAGTCTTGTCGAAGTGAATGTAAGTAGTCTAGATTCTTCTTTCTCTACAAAATTCATTGCTCTTGAACTCGACGACATTTGTGGCTATCTTCCCAAAGCAGACTATCCAAAGCTAAGGTCAAAGTTAAAGTCACTGATTTTTTTTTTTTTTTGTGTGCCTAAGTATTGACGACAGTGACTGTGACCTTAGCGATGTAAATATGTTAATAGGAGCTGATTATTTAGGAGTAATTTGTACGGGCACTATTGTACAATTAGATGGGCCTTTAGTAGCTATTAAGACGAGGCTAGGATGGACATTACAGGGCCCTAACTTTTATAGTGCTGCACAATGCTCAATGACTTTCAATTGTCACGCTCAGAGTAAACTTTCAGATTTGTGGGATTTAGAGATATTAGGGATTTCAGAGCCACATGAGCAGATGTGCAAAGATAGGAAAAAAGAAGAGGTAATGAGTCAATTTGAGCAGAATATTAGTTTTAAAGACAATCGTTACCAAGTAGGGTTTTTGTGGAAAGATGGTTACCCCGAAATAGGCAGTAATTACAATGTAGCTTATAAAAGACTTTTAACGACGACTAGGAAGTTAGAGAGGACTGGTCATTTGCTAAGTTATAACGATGTTTTTCAGAATTGGTTAGACGAAGATATTATAGAACATACTGAAAACAATATAGCAGAAGGACATTTTATTCCTCATCACGCAGTCGTTAAGATGTCTAGGACTACAACGAAGATACGTCCAGTATTCGACGCATCGTGTAAAGATGCACAAGGATTGTCTTTGAATAACTGCATCGAATCGGGTACCAATCTTATAGAACTAATCCCTAAATTATTGATGAACTTTAGGAAAGGTACGTACGGCGTCACGTCGGATATAAAGCAAGCCTTTCTGCAAATTTTAGTTTCAGAGAAAGATAGAGAGTATTTAAAGTTTCTGTGGTGGGAGAATTCGTTGACCAAAGAGAAGATAGTCACTTTCAGACATAAGAGAGTAGTATTTGGGGTGACTTGTAGTCCGTTTCTCTTGGCGGCTACGATTAATTATCACTTAGGCAATTTTGAAGGAATGTACGGTCAGACAGTTGAAATTTTGAAACACTCCTTTTATGTTGATAATTGTGTAGCTAGTTTTGATACAAAAGAGGCTTTATTTACTTTTATAGACGAAGCTAAGGAAGTTATGCTAAAGGGGGGGTTTTGATTTACGATGTTGGGTTACCGCTCCTATTAGAGTAGATAACACTGTCCAGACTCAATCTGTATTAGGAGTGCTATGGAATACTCTTACGGACGAATTACAGTGTAGTTTCCGTCTTAGTAACACTATACCAGATCGGGTCACGAAGAGAGATCTTTTGTCATTAACTCAGCAGATATTTGACCCTATTGGATTTCTTGCACCTGTTACCCTAGTGCCTAAACTAATAGTACAAAAGGCTTGGATAGATAGTACAGGTTGGGATCAAGCTATCAGCAACGAGTTATCGAAGGAATTTAAGAGTTGGCTAAATCATGTTCATCTGGTGGGGGGTTGGTGGTTATCTTCATCCGGGATAAATGATAGCAAGTTGCCGAGACGCTTATCAGAGGAGAGGTTGACGAACTGTAACAAAAGTTTACATTTGTTTTGTGACGCATCTATTAATGCTTATGCAGGTTGTGTCTTTCTTCGGACCGAATGCAAAAGTAAAGTTACGATTAGGCTGGTTATGGCCAAAAGTAGAGTAGCGCCAATTAAAAGATCAATAACTTTACCTAGATTGGAGCTAATGGGAGCGCTTATTGCATCGCGGCTTGCAAATGAGATAAGTAGAGCGTTGTTTACCGACGACACCTGCCCGTTATATTGTTGGACAGACTCCGCGGTTGTGTTAGCCTGGATCCAAAGACAGTGTTCTTGGAAGCCGTTTGTGAGCAATAGGGTAAGTGAAATTTGTGCTCACACTAAGAAGGAACATTGGCGGCACGTACCGGGCCACTGCAATCCGGCAGACCTACTGTCACGTGGCTGTAATATGAAGACATTAATGGACAGTCACTGGTGGGATGGCCCTGCTTGGCTATTATCTGACCAAGAACTGTGGCCTCAGTCTAATCACATCGCAGTAGATGAGAACGCTGTTTCCATAGAAGCAAAGAAGGAGGTACTTGTAAATACTAATGTAGATACTGAACATTTTAGCGAGAAGCTTTTATACTTTTCTAAGTATTCAAGGATTGTACGTATAGTAGCTTGGATATTCCGGTGGAGAAGGCGACGAATGTTTAGTACAGCTTATATAAGCAATGATGAATTCGAAGAAGCTGAGAATATACTTATAAGACTTATTCAGGGTGAACATTATGTAAATAGAACTAAATTGAATAAGAAACTGTGCATACATTTAGATAGTAATAGTATTATGAGAGTAAAGACTAGATTAGGTTTAGAAAATTATGATAAAGATTTTTCGAGTCCCATATTATTACCAGGGAAAAATGTCATTGTGAGGCGACTCGTTGAAGAGAAACATATATACTTAAAGCACATTGGATCACATACTTTAATGTCAGAGCTGAGAAACAGATTCTGGATTACAAGTGTGAGATGGCTATGTAAGGATATAGTTAAGAAATGCATAATTTGTCGTAGGCAAAAGGGCATACATTATGATACACCGGAGGCACCACTCCCTCTTGAACGGATTCAAGGCACGGCAGCGTTTCAAATGACAGGTATAGATCTGGCCGGGCCGTTGTATTTACGTAATCAAGAGAAATGTTGGGTGGTTTTATTTACTTGCGCGACATTTAGGGCTGTGCATTTTGAGATGGTAGACTCATTGTCCACAAATAGTTTTATTATGAGTCTTCGTAGATTTATTGCTCGAAGAGGTCGTATAGACGTCATTTTCACAGACAACGGAACAAATTTTCGAGGGACTGCCAATTTACTGAAGGATATTAATTGGCAGGAGGTTGAAAGTGTGACGGCAGTCCATGCTATAAAGTGGCGTTTTATTCCACCTAGAACTCCTTGGTGGGGAGGTTGGTGGGAGAGGCTCATTAGAGTATTAAAGGAGATGTTGCAAAGAATATTGGGGCGTCAGCGATTGACTTGGGTAGAGTTGGACACAGTCTTGTGCGATTGTGAAGCTGTCATTAATAGTCGGCCACTAACATACGTCTCGACTTGTACCGACGATTTGCGGCCACTTATACCTATGTTATTTCTACATGGCTTACCTTCTAATGATACTTCTGATTTAGATTATGTAGATAATATGAATTTAAATGTAAGATACAAATATTTACAAAAGTTGAGAGAAGATTTCAGAGTTCGATTTCGTAAGGAGTATTTGGCTTTACTTACAGCTAGATGGAAGGAGAAGACTATAGAAATGAAGAAAGGAGATATAGTTCTAGTAGAGACAGACGCGAAAAGGCTATTTTGGCTCTTGGGGTTAATCATGGAAGTAGTTACCGAGGCTGATGGTGTTACTCGTTTGGCTAGAGTCATGACTCAAAAAGGTGAAACTTTAAGACCATGTCAGAGATTTTATCCGCTTGAGATTTCAAATGATTCTGACCTCTTGCAACGAGCTGCAGTAACGATAGAGGATGAGAAGTTATCAGTAAGTTCAGATAGTCCCGACTTACACTCCTCGGTTACAGGTGGCGCGAAGGTGACGAAAACAACGCGGTGCGGTCGAAATGTGAAATTGCCTGCTCGGTACTTATGAATTACATTTGGTTTTAGGGTTTTCCTTAGTATGTTGAGTTGCGTTAATTGGTTACCATTTTCTTTCGGGTCTGGAGTGTGTTGAAGATAAATAAATATTGTCTACGGCCTTTTTAGGTTTTTTTATATCTTGTGACTTGTGCATGGTTACGAAAATAACAAGAAAAAAGTAAGACTAGTTTTTTCGTAATAAGTATTTTTGTTAGAAGATTAAATGTTTCAAGTCTAAGAAATCTTCTTATTTCAATGTGAGGAGTTACATACAACGGTCATACAGAAGCTCCCCACAGTACTATTGTAACTTTTTGCATAAGCCAGAGACGGGCTACTTCATCTTTTAATTCAGTGTATTTGCTCAGTTTTTCTTTTGATATAGCAAAATGTTCTGGTGTTGCGGTTGATCATGGGCGGCGGTAGTTACTTAACATCAGGTGAGCCGCATGCTCGTTTGCCCCCTCTTCTATAAAAAAAATATATATTAAATATCCAGTTTTGTTTATCTTGTTTATAAGTGTAATATCTGGTCTATTGAAATGGATTGTTTGATCGGTAAGGATAGAGCGGTCAAAATACAAATTTGTTGAGGGGTTCTCTAATACAGTTTTTATTATAGGGCAGCACTGACCTGAATATCATGAAGGTTAGAGAAGAGGAGAACGATCACTACGTACTAAGCATAGCCCGCCTGTCCTTGAAAATTGTAGAATTTATAGCAGCGCTGACGTCGGTGAGTAGTGACTGCGAAGTTAGCTGTTTATGAGTACAAGTAGATGAAGTTAGTTGAATAATGTACAAATTTTCCCCGCGGCATTGGTGAAAAAATTTTCATGCTCTGTAATTTTGTAATTTTTGACAAAAAGAACATTAACATTAACGAACATTAACGACTTTTATTGAGCGAACTTAGCGATCGCTGCGCCTCACTTATGGTGCCCATATTTCTGGGACACTATTTTCTACGGCGATCGTTCTCCTGTTCTCTAACCTTCATGCTGAATATCATTGTAATGTGCAGATAATACTTACTATATACTCTTTGCTCATGTGTCAATGTCAAGCTGTCAAGTCAAGCTCAAGTCATTTGTCATCATCATTGTCATTTGAAATAGTTTGTAGTATAATAGAGTGATTGCAATTTAAGTTTTGTGAGAAAATTCTCTAATATAGTTGCTATACAATTTATTTCACTATTAAAATAAAAATGTCGTTTTTTATTAAACAGTGTATGCGAAAGGTGAGTCCGTTTTCAAATCATACTTAAATTTTTATTAATTGGAAAGAATAATAGGTTAAAAATTTAGGATCATTTGCAGGAACTTGGGGAGTAAGGTGTTTTATTTGGTATTTTGGTCACCAGTTATAACAATACCACTCGCATTAAAAGGTAATCCACTGTTTTAGAGGGGGAAAAGCTATTATAACCTAGAATGTGTAAAACATGGAAAATGGTTCATTACTTTTATAAACGGGGACCAAAACTACCAAATAAAACACCTTACTCCCCAAAATTTTCAATTCAACCCTTTCCCGCCATCATTCGAAGATTTCTGGATCTTTCTGGTATTTTCCTTGGTCGTCTTTTACAATACCTGTGAGATGGGTTGGTAGTGAATTCTCTTTTGTATCTCTGAGTAATGTTATTATTATATCAATATTATTTTTAGGTCCTTTCACCTGCATTTTCAACATTAAAGAAGACAAATTTCTCAACAAGTAGGTATTACATAATAAAAAAACTTTATATATTACTACATGTTTTAATTTTAAATTGACACTGCTAGATTTATCGCTGTGTGGTAAAATTTTGGGTATACTTTATAATTATAACAAATAATTTTTAGTTGGCAATGTTTGTAATTATTACCAATAAACACCTTATTTACCTTTGATATTAAGGGGAACCAAGCTTGTATTATTGGTATCCACCCCAATTTCCACCCTATATTTTATGTATATTCCATAAATTGATTTCAGCCAGTGCTATCTTTGCACCAAGAGTCCAAAAACCAGCTCCAGATTTCTCTGGCACAGCTGTTGTCAACGGAGAATTTAAAGAAGTTAAACTATCAGATTACTCTGGAAAATATGTTGTTTTGCTTTTCTACCCTCTGGACTTGTAAGTACTCAAGTAAATTATTATAAAAAATGCAATCAAACAATTTCAAATTTGTCATTTAACAGAGTAGTAAATTATATAAGTATGCATATCTATCAAATCCCTCACCATTAAGCTACATTAGGAACTAACTTAATTAAACAAAAGGCCTGTAATCATATTTGTTTTACTTTTTATATCATAAGAAATAGGCAAATTTCTATGACATGTTGCTTAAACATTCTAATCACCTACTTTTTATATCAAAAGAAATAGGCAAATTTCAACATGTTGCATAGACATTCTAATTACCTACTTTTGCAAAGATATTCGACAAGAAAATATGATCAATGTTCTATTTCTTTTTATTGGATGGGATGACAAATGAGCACACAGTCCACCTGATAGTAAGTGCTTTCTGCGCCCCTAGGCATCTACATCTATCCTCAATTGCGAATCAAAATGAAGATGCGTTGTCACCCTTGAGGACTAAGGTGGAATGCCTCGTTTCCAGTAAAAAGGGTCTCCTGTTTTCTACACTCATTATACGAAACAAAGCATCATTTAGCTACTGTTTTACGCTGGTATTCTGTGAGAACGTGGGCCTTCCCCGGTGGAGCCGACCCATTCGTGCTACAATTATACTGCTAATATAAATGCAGCATGGCTCTTCCATGTAGAAACTATTTTTCTTCTATAACTATATTATTTATAATATATTATGTATAGTATATTATATATTCTATAACTTTTTTGTTCCATACTGAATACTTCATACTTCTGGTGTCAATAAATATTTTTTCATTTATTTGTATTGGATGCAGCTCTTGTCTGATAACAGCTGAATAATCCTAAAAACTGCAGTTGTCAACCAGCTTTCCAAGTGTGGCAACTGTGGCAAATATTCCCCCTATCCTATACCTTTAAACGAGCAATTCTAGTATATATAATCGGAATCTCGGAAACGGCTCCAACGATTTTCATAAAATTTTGTGTGCAGGGAGTTTCGGGGGCAGTAAATCGATCTAGCTAGGATTTATTTTTAGAAAATGTCTTTTTGTCCGTGTTTTTAGGCAATGAAAAACTGCTACAATATCATTAGAATAAGGAGGTAAATTTTGACAGTTTATTAATGATTACAAATAGCTTAATTGGTATATTGGGCGGTCACAAAATCGTAATACCATGGTTTGAGCCCAGACATGTATTTTCGAAAATTTTTGCACTCATGATTTTTTATTCAAATAACCAGTTCAGTTTTTTCTATTATGTGCTAAGATCAAAAAATATTATTCGTATTTCATCAGTATGTGATTTGTATCTAAATATAATTTCCAAAACACATGAATAAACAAAAACCGAGCGAAAAATACCGAGCAAAGCTCGGTCAACCGGGTACTGGCTTTTGATAGGTGGTAAAGGTATACAGTCAGAGGTCAATTGACGGATTCAACTCGGCTGGGCAGCGTTCGGGAAATTACGACACATATTCTCATCAGGTATACCTCAAACTCTGAAAACTAGATTGTACAACCAGTGCGTGTTGCCAGTGATGACTTACGGATCTAAGACGTGGTCTTTCACTGCTGGCCATATGAGGACGCTAAAGGTCGCTCAGCGAGCTATCGAGAGGGCTATGCTTGGAGTTTCTCTGCGTGATAGACTCAGAAATGAGGAATATCCAAAGTAAAAGCAGAGTGACCGACATAGCGCAACGGATTAGTAAGCTGAAGTGGCAATGGGCCAGCCATATAGCTCGATGAACCGATAACTGATGGGGAAGAAAGGTTCTCGAGTGGCAGCGTCGTACCGGTAGGCGTAATGTAGGGCGACCCCCCACTAGATGGAGTGATGACCTGGTAAGACATGCAGGAAGTCGATGGATGCAGGTGGCTCAGGACCGTGCTTCGTGGCATTACTTGGGGGAGGGCTATGTTCAGCGGTGAACTTGTGAAGGGCTGTAATGAAAAGTATACAGTATTTATTAACATCGTCATCACATTTTTTTGCATTGTCACAACCCTTGGGGACAGTGGACTAATTATTTTTTATATGGTTTTAAAAATAATTATGCTATTCTGATCCTTTAGCTAGCTTCACCTATTAATTATATGCACTATCATTCTTTTAGTCTGCATTATTCAAAAAAAAATAAGTACTTATCATAGTTCTCTTTTATTCCAGCACATTTGTCTGTCCAACGGAACTGATTGCATTTAGTGACAAGCACAACGAATTTCGTAACATACAATGTCAAGTTATTGGTGTTTCTACAGACTCGGAGTTTAGTCATTTAGCTTGGACCAACACACCTAGAAAGGTATGTTTGAAGGATGATGGTTAATTTAATGTGGTACAGCAACACTGCAACTATATTATAGTGGCAGCATAAATGGGTTGGTTCAACTGGGAAAAGACCACACTCCCTAAGAATACCAGTGTAAAATAGCAGCTTTATGCTGCTATGTTTTGTTTGGTTAGTGTAGAGAACTAGAGACCTTTTTATTAGAAATGTAGCATTTCATCTTAGTCTTAGTCTCAGGGGTGACAATGAATTCTGCATTTTGATTCTTAATCAAGAATAGATCTAGATGTCTATGGACTCCACCATTCTCTTACCATTACTGTGTGTTCTTTTGTCTCCCTTATTCGATAAAAAAATATAAAAAAGCTTCGTTTAATCCAACCATAACAACTTTGTCTCTTTCGTCCTCTTTACTCCACAGCTCGCCCCTCCACTCCTAAAATTGCCTGCAATTTTTAACATGGTACAGCCTCTCTGCAGCTGTATTATATACTTGTAATGGGTTGGCTCCAGGGGAAGGACTATGCTCTCAGAAGTATCATAAAACAGCAGCTTAATGCTACCATATTTCATATTGTGAGTATAGAGAATTATATTTCAAGTAGTTTTCAAGGATGGCAACACATCTAAACTCTAACAACAAGCAGTTGATATTGGTGTCTATGGGTGTGGCCCATTAGGCATCCATTTATCATCTGGTGGAAAGTGTGTTTGCTTGTTACCCTTATACAACTTTATAGAACTTTTGTTACAATTTGTCATATATATTGCTAGCCACATACCTCAGTAGCTAAACAATTGATAGAATCGATTGAGCGGTCAGCCGCCGTAGGGTCAATATCACCTGAAGTTGTCTTGTGTAGAGGCGAAACATGTGTCGTATTATCGTCGATGGTGTGTCTTAGTTTAGTTTTGTTTACGACGGGCTGTTGTCCGCAACTCCACGTCTAAGCGCGTATCTTGCGTGTGGGCTGGAATAATGTGGTTATTCAAGCCATGATATTTCCCCGAAGAAGTTCAACAGTCCTTTGATGTTGCAAGCAACTTCGGGGAGCGATCCGGGCTTGCCGAGATGTTTAGCCCTGTATGAAGCGACTTCTGGACATGTCAACAACACGTGAGCCGCCGTTTTTCCTCTCCCATGCATGCCCTGCACAGGGGGCTGTCAGTAACACCTATGGTAAACAAATGTTTGTTAAAAGAGCCATGTCCTGTGATAGCACTTGTTACTATTTTCATCTGTGGCTTGTTCAGTCTCATTAGAACCTTGGTTAGGCGACTGTTTATTTCAGGCAGGGCCTCTCTAGCTTGTCTACAGTCTACTAAATTTTTCCAAAGCTGAGCGTGTAAACTATTGAAGTATCTACATACCAGTGAACGAACATAGCCAAAGGGGATTGGTATTGTGGGTTCCGGCCCTATAGTTGCCAGAGCCGATCCCCTTCTGGCCAGTTTATCTGCTGCATCATTGCCTCTAGATCCTCTGTGTCCCTTGATCCATTGCAGAGTCACATTGTTGTGCTTACATACCTCATTCAATCGTTGATGGCACTCATATATCAGTCTCGAGTTCGCCACATGGTGTGTCTTTCCTAGAATAGTGGTGTTGGGAGTAGTGGCGTTGGGAGTATTGTTGCTGGGATTGGTGGTGACGGGATTAGTGCACGCAATTGAGGGAGGGCGGGAGGTGCTCTTCAAACTAGGGAAGACACATCATTTTATTTTATTTAGCGGATGGTTGCAAAATAACTATTAATATGTTTAGCTAAACAATTAGTTGAACAAGTGTTTGTATAGCCTATATTAGTAATGTTTTTAACAACAAAAAAAATGATGCAGCCCTTAGCTTTTTGGATATACACTTAATTCAAATATAACCTTGCCATTGAAAATATTAAATTTCACTAAAAATTTTCAGGATGGTGGGTTAGGTAAATTAGAAATTCCACTACTGGCGGATTATAAGAAGAAAGTTTCACAAGATTATGAAGTTCTCCTTGATGAAGGTTTTGCATTACGAGGTAATATTTTTCATTGATACATATTAATAAATTTTTTTACATGTTTAATTTTTGTGCTTGTCGAATATATTTTATAAGGTTAAATTTTAAATGTTGGGAGAAAAATAGTCCATTTTTGAGTTTCTTGCTGATTCTTCTTACAGGATCTGTCACAGTAAAAACTTGTTGAAGCAATGGTGTAGCTTTTCTGATTTGTGTCACACAATATCGTATATTCTCAGGATGCGGGAGTAGCTCTTCGTAAAAACATTTAAATAAATATCGATCTTATACTATGATGTAACAAAGTGCAATTCAGCTCGCACAGCATCAAGTTCCTATTATTATTCCTTCCTTCTATCGTAGTTTACCGCGGTTTTGTTGGCTCATCGTTAAAGCTTGTTGGTGGATCATTGCAAACATGCGATTGAGCCAACCAAGTTCGCCAGCATTGTTTGAAATTAGACATATTCAAAAAACTAAAGAATAACTCATCTCCTGACGAAACATGTCTAACATTAGGATTGTCTTCTTATAATGAATAATAACCTAAATATTTTTTAATATTTATGTACCTATTGCTTTTCTACTAATAGGTCTTTACCTATGAAATTACCATTCTGCAGTACTGGCCATTTCAAATCAAAATAATTTTTGTTTGGCTACGATTCTAATTTCAAATTAATTTTATTTAAAAAACTTAACCCAAAAGATCACCAGCTGAGCGACCCCGACGGAAACCATACTGGCGATCACTAATCAGCTGGGGATCTTCAAGGTATCACATGAGCTGGCTGTTAATAATGAACTCCTTAATTTTAGAGAGCAAGGAGGTGATGGCGATAGGCGATAGTTGGACCGATTAGAGTGTTTACCTTTTTAGGGATTTGGTGCACGAAAGCTGTCTTCCATGATTTTGGGACTATGCCTAGGGAGTAGGAGTACCGAAAAAGACGCGTCAAAACCGGTGCCAACTCCAGAGCACACGTCTTTAGCACAATAGGTGGGATGCCATCAGGCCCACTCGACTTGTTGACGTCCAGGGAGGGGAGTGCTCTGCGCACCAAGCATTAGGTAAACAGCAGATCCTGCATGGAACACAAACACCGGGAGATGGTCGGCGGTGTGTTCCCCCCGTCATCAAGAGTCGAGTTGGACGCAAAGAGAAAGCCCTGCTAATCGGCTTTGTCCTTTGCGGCATGGACCAGTGAGTCAACCTCTCTGTGCAGAGATGAGAAAGATGGCTGACAAAAGTTCCCTTGGACAGTCTTGGCGAGAAACCAGAATGCACGTGATCTCGAAGGAAAGCGAACTATTTTCTCGCCAATTCTGCTGATGTGTTCTGTCTTTGCCTTGGCTATGACAATTTTGAAGGACCTGGAGGCGGAATTACACTTCTTTTTAAGAGGATCGTCGGGCGAGAGCTAACCCGCCCCCAAGGGTGGGATGCAAAGAAAGATCGCATCGGCTGACCTATAATGCCAAAAACGGCGACAACCTGCAGAACGCAACCGCGACGGGTCCTATAGAGGCACCCGTAGACGCGGGTATTGTCGTCGCTGTCTACGCGCAGGCATAGGATGGACAGGGCCGTACCTTCAAGGCTGCCGAGGTGTCGAAAACAGTTGTCTTCTCTGACGTACACGCAAACTCCAGCCCGAGGCATATTCATACGAAGTATCAGCAGGAGACGACACCTATGTCTCGGTTAGAAAGAGCAAGGCCTGCTTCGCCGTTTCCAGATGATAGTGGACGGCGTTAAGGTTTGAATGAAGTCCTCTGATGATGCATAAATTCACGGATAGCGTAGCAAGGGGCCCCTTTGTCTTATTGCTCCGTTTGCCCCGAGCAGGGCCAGCGCGAGTTACGCCTCGAGATGTGCCTTGCTCTGCTCAATAGGAACTTTGAACCACATTGTTACCTACGAAGAAAAAATCGATTCTGTATGACGTTCAAAAGCGCTCAGCAAGTTGTTGGATCCTGGTTCAACACTTTAACAATGTCCTAAACGAAAACATGTCCCTAGAAAAGTGATGGTCACTGTATTACAGCTTTATACCAAACGGGACAAGCAATGTCTGCAAATGTGTACTGTGAAGAACTAAACACAATGATGGAGAATCTCGCACGTCTCCAACAAGCTTTGGTCAATCGCTCGTCCCCGCTGCTCCTGCACGACAAGGCGCGACCTTATACTGCACAACAGAAGGTCCTCACTAGACCTTGCGTCTAAGAGGCTACTTTTTCCAGAATTTGGATAACTTATTGGCGCGGGAAAAATTCAACATCCGAGGGGCAGTACAAAATGCCCGTGAAGAATTTGTTGCCTCTTGTCCAGCTGATTTCTTCAAAAGGGCATCAATTAACTGTCACTGCGTTCGCAAAGTTGCATCTATTGCATAGATGACTTTGATTAAAAGAAATAAAAAACATACAAAAAATTAATGTTAGCTTATTTCATAAAAAACGGCAATATAAAGAACGGAAAGGTAAGGTAAGTAAGTAGTTAAGGTATATTCAAATTTGCGCAAGTCAAAATCGCTTTGGAACGGCGTAATATTGAAGCACACTACAATGTTCTTTGTGTGCGTAACTGCTCGAGGTGGGGCAAGCGCAAGGTTACTATAATAGTTGCAACTAAAGATTTTTGTATCCAGCACGAATCATCTTGATACTATTGGTACTAAGAGAATAAAATAATTTCCAGATAATGGCTTATGAGGTCGTAGCTAAGACATAGTGTATATAAGAATTAATATCCGATCTAGCCCTGACATCAGAAGCTAATATGTATAAATTATTTTATTCTTGTAGTAAATTGAAGACGGCTTTTCTTTTTTACTCTATTGAGTAAGTAGACTAAGGAATCTCACAACGCCAAGTTAGTTAAGAACTAGAAAGGGGTAAGTAATATAATATGTTCGAATTGAAAAATATGTATTATATAAAATAGATTTCGTTCGATATACACTTATCTGTATCGTAATGTAAAGATAATTTATCTTTTTTTTTTAATCTTTATTAACATAAAATACACAGATTTAAAATAATAATAAACATCGCCAAACTGTGCAACAGTTTGTTGGCGATAATGGCGCTCTTTTGTTATACATTAATATTGTTACGAGCTTGAGGTTCGTGACAATAAAAATTTCCGATAGAATTACCTAAATTAACACTTTAATTCACTTTACACTAATTAAAGTTAAAAACACTAATAATTAATCACACTGATTCACTTTATTCTGCTCCGAAGCTTCGCTTATCTCGCCGAATTCAATACTTCCCCGATTGCATCTTGCAGCGCCTATTTATATAAATTAGCACGGAAATATCCAGAATATTCAAGTAAACACGCGCAAGGTACCGAGAGTTCGAGTTTCAACTAGGCGCTAGTGCCGTCGACTAAGGCGCGTAACACTGCCCCCCCTCCTAAGACATGCTCGTCCCGAGCATTATCGGCCCCATAATAACGCGCCAGGCGATCCACATGGACGATCTTAGGAGTCCCTCTTGCGCCTTTCTGTATCCCGTAGGTTTTACATCGTTCATCCTGGTCACAATCCGGTACGGGCCATCACGGGCATTTAGCTTGAAGCTTAGGAGATTTCCCTTTGCTGCGGACTGGATTGTACAACCACACAAGTGAACCTTCCTCGAACCCTTTGTTGTTCATTTTGCGGTCGTACCGGGTTTTCATCTTTTCAGACATTTGCTGGCCCGATTGTCTGACGTGCTCATAAATGTCAAATATTTTATTCCGCAAGTCATTTGCATAATCGGTTATACTACGTGGAGCATCAGGTGGTATCCCGGTGATCAGGTCTGCAGGCAGCCGTAATTCTCTTCCAAAGTTTGCGAAAGCTGGTGTCACTGCTGTACTTTCGTGAACAGCGCTTCGATATGACAACAAAAACGGTTGTATGTGCTTGTCCCAATCTCGTTGCCGATTGTCTACAACTTTTGCTAGGTACCTCTCCAATGTCTGATTAAATCGTTCTACCATTCCATCAGATTGCGGGTGATAAGAAGTCGTTCTTGTTTTATGAGTACCCATAACTCGGCAAGTTTCCTGGAATATTTGAGATTCAAAATTCCTTCCTTGATCGCTGTGAATCTCTAAAGGTACTCCAAAACGACAGAAGACTTCATGAACTAGTTTATCTGCAACTGTTGAAGCTTCTTGATTTGGAATGGCGAAGACTTCTGGCCACTTAGTGAAGTAATCCATCACAACCATGAATTACTTGTTACCGCTTTCACTCTCCGGAAACGGCCCCGCCACGTCAATGGCTATTCTCTCCCATGGTGCACCAACATTGTACAACTTCAATGCACCTCTACTACGAGTCTGAGGTCCCTTTACAGCCGCACAACTTGTACATTTGCGACACCAGTCCTCGACATCGTTTCGACAGTGGACCCAGTAAAACCGTTCTCGGATCTTTAGTAGAGTTCGTTTAACTCCCAGATGGCCACCGGAACAATCATTATGGTACAGCTGTAGAACATCCGGTACTTTAGCTTTAGGGACAACCATTTGCAAGTGACAGCTGTCTCCCCGAACATTTTCCCATTTACGGCACAGAACTCCATCCTGAAGCAGCAAGCTGTCCCATTGGGCCCAATAGCTTTTAGTGGTCGAACTCATCGCTGAGACGTCGCTCCACTTGGGCTTGGGAGCACTGGCTTTCATCCATTCCAGAATCGGCTTGATGTCCGGATCTTCCTGCTGTGCATGTTGTAAGCTGTCCTTCCACTCGTTGCTGAGGTGGTCTGTCCTGAGCATCCTCACGGATACCACTTCCTTACTCCTTCCAGTTCCTGCATAGTACAATGTTTGCAATCTTCAGGACAAGGTCTTCGTGATAATGTATCTGTGTTGCCATGAGATTTCCCGCTGCGATGTTCGATCTCAAAGTTGTATCCCGGCTGCTGCTGGGCGGTGATGTTAGCCGCACTTTGCAGCTTTCCCTTCTGAGATCGTTCACCTTCCCTTTCTAGGGTTCGCTTAGGGCAGC